CACCCCCCACTCCAAAAAAAACCCACCAAAAAGAAGGAATTTTTATATTTGACAACCGTCTGATACGGCATGAAGTTCCTTCCTTTATCGGAGACAACACGTTTGACGTAAGAGAGCGGCGTATATCTACGGTTCAATTTTGTCGAGATAAAAGAAAATGTTTCTTTTGTACATTATTCCAAATCAACTGCTTGGTGAGAGACTCCTGTGGCGTAAGTTACCGGACCCATAATCGTGAGATTGCAGGTTCGGGGGTTCGACTCGAACCTCAGCTCAGTCCGACGTTGTGTCCTTGGGAAAGATACTTTACAGGAATTTCCCATTTCGCTCAGTCCTTTCGGAGATGGACGTCTACCTGGGAGGTTCCACCTCTTAAATAACCTAATAGTGTTGATGGGGGCGTTAAACCTAGATGTCTATATCTTTTTACTGAAGAGTCTTTAGGCCATTCCCAAGAGGGGGGATATTAACATGTTTTTATGCAAAGTAGATTTGTAAATGGGCTGATTCATCAATGGCATGCTCATACTGTGCCAGAACAACATTCGGCGAACTGCTGCTCTTTCTTTCCCCATCCTTACTATTGACGTCATTTTCCTCTACTTCTTTAGTATGTATGTCACTCTCTTGTGAACTGCTATTTCCGGGGTGCCTTGATAGTCGAAGCAAACTTTGTGCTGTTGAGGCTAAAGAGGTGAGCAGAGTAAGCCTGATTCTCTGTTTGGACTTTTCTGTTGACACCCACCCCTTGGCGCTCATATGACCTTATGCAGTTGCGAGCACTGTAAAACCTTACTAAAACAAAACAAACACTGAGCAGTTGAAACGCGTTTGCCGTAAGCGAACGGAATATGAATCAAATTTGTCGAGAACTCATTTTTTTCTGTATTCATACAATGCTATCCCAAATGCTAAACTTATTGACTTACTCATAGAGATGCACACGGCCAATAAATAGATGTAATACAGATATTCGACCTCACACACGAATAGAACGCCCCAACCCCAACTCCTTTCTCCTTTAAACCCACACACAGACAATCAGACACAGAAAAAGTGACTACCGAACCAATAAAAAACAGCCCCCCCCCCAACCCCCACCACCCAAAAACAACCTTAACCACTGCAACACCCTCACCACCACAAACAAAACACAATGACCACAACAACAAAAAATAACTACATGTAATACCTATCATCCTCCTCCTCCTCATCATTATCATCATATTATCCCCTTTTTCTTGTTTTGCTTTTCTTAAAGCATAACAATTTGTACCGTGTTAGCACAATTTTACGTTACATGCAAATGTCGGGCACCAAAAACGGGACGTGGGGAAAAAAGGCAAAAACAAAAACAAAAAGAAAAACAAAATTGCAGGCAGTGTTACTCCATCCCCTAATGAAAACAAATGAGCATGCACGCTCAAATACATACAGGACAAAAACTTCAGAAAATCCAGGAAAAATCCCCCACACGATCTTGTTGAACGATTACTTTTGTGGTTTCACAATCTAGAAGACTGAATATATAAATATGAACTTTCCATTCATCAAGTCTTTCAGACTAATAAAAAACTGAAGGAACCAAGCCCGACACAAACATAGATGTGAATTTATTACCCGATGAAGAAAAAAAAAGGGGGGGTAGGTAGTGAGAGAGGGGGAGAAAGAGGGAGAGAGAGAGAGAAAGAGAGAGAGAGAGAGAGAGAGAGAG